ACAAACAATTGCTTTGCTGTCTTCAGAAAAATTAAAAATTGGTGTCAGATAAGCGGTGCCTGGTACCGCTGAGTGTGATGCTGGTGCAGTATGTAGGCGTAATCTCAACTCTGCACCTTGTGGCTGCGGGGAGCTGCTGGGATGCTCTGGAAGCAGGTTATTGATAAACTTCGACGGCAAAGAGCCGCGTTGCCCGCTTTGAGCAGCGTTAGTCTTTGTGCAGCAAGGATCCTGACACCGATCTCGGTGATAACCCAGCCAGAGAGCGTGTGATTCGAGCTACTTTCCGCTAAGCATGTTGATGTTACAGTAAATGTGACATGTGGGTGTTGATTGAAGGGACATAATTTTCAGGCCTGCTTTGGGCCAACACCCTCAAGAGCAAATCAGTCCTTTGTGCTTGCTCCCCAACTAGGCTGAGCTCTCTGTGCTGTGCCTTCAAGACAGCAGTGACTGTCAGGAGAACAGTGCACTTGACGTGCTGCAGCACATTTCTAGGCTGTATCCTGTACCTGGCTACCAGGAACTGCGTCCCCATGGTGGACTCTGGGCTCCCCCAGCTTGTCCAGAGAAGGGTGGCCAGGCTATCCTGTGCCTTGTCCCCCAGGTGGGCACAAGGTGGGCAGTGGCTGTGGCAGGGTGCTGGGGCAGGCAGGGCACCCAGCAGCACCTCTGCAGCGAAGGCACTGGCAGCGCTCGCCTTCACCACCCCGTTATTGATTTGTACAGAAAACAGCCATGGGGGGGAAGTTTCACATTCAACAATTTGGCCCAACACCAAAACATTCCCTCTGCCCCCTTGCCTCATTTTGATACTGTAGAGCAAGAAAAATAAGGAAGAGAATAGGTTGGCAAGTTCTAGATCCTTTCTTACCCTGGTTCTGCAGACCAAAAAAAAGACAAGAAAATAAATGATTGCTGCCTGGACCCAGCCTCACCCAAACTCTGTGAACAAGCATCCAGGGTTCTGTCCTTTAAAGCCTTGGAAACGACTTTTAGCAAAACAGCCGTTTCCACTATTAGTGGGTAAAATTTTGAGACAATTGACAGGCAGAAAGTAGTTAGCATTTGTGTTCACTTTAATACTGGGCATGAGCATTGTTTGCATGGGGCACATATGCTCTAATGATGTCACCATGCTGGAGTAGGAGTGCTGGTGGCTTTGTGAGAGTGCCTTTATGGAATTAAGGAGTTTGTCCACTGCATTTTGGTAGACAGCCAGAGACCTTGGAGATGCTGCTTAGAGTCCAGTCAGCAAGTGTAATGCTTTTTTTGAGTAAAGCAAATGATTTCGATTGTCTGGTTGCTTTAATTTCACTGAGCCATCATATAACAACTGTGTCACTCATGTCCCTAAAGACTGTCCATCGCCAACTCACTGTGCTCCCTAGGCAGACAATGCCAAGGCAATCCTCTGTGCAGGAATCTCTGGATGTAGAGAAAATAGTGGGCACACCTTAACACGCCTGAAAAATCAGGGCACGAGTCCTTGCTGGAAATAGCTCATTTGGGTTTTTTTTACTTTTCCCGTGTAAGCGACATGAGATGTTTTCCCTCCTCCTATTTTGCGTGGCCTAATTTCTTCTTCTTAAAAATATAAATTAATTTAAAATAAATACTTGTGAAGAAACACCCTCCTACCTCCAAACCCATCTACCAACAACAGCAATAAAACCACAGAGTTAAATTCAAATAATGTGAAGCGACTCATTTTAAACCCACAGACACAAGCAGAGTCAGAACTTTAGATTGAGACTGGCCTAAATTGCCCCACTGGTATTAAAGGGCTCCTTAAACAGCCTAAGATCTTGGCTGTTGTATTAACCAGGCATGACCCAATGCGTTATGGGCTGGACTTGCAGGCTTTTTTCTCTTTCCCTTTGTGGGTTTTAAATCTCTCCTGTAATGTTACTTGAATGTAGGTTTTTAATGGCTTAATTGAGTTGTCAATAGGAAGCCTTTTCTTTCTTGTGTTTTTTTTTTATTCTGAGTAAAAAAAATAAATGCAAATTGACATGGATAAAATGCATTTGAAGATCTATTCAGTATTTTGTTTTTCATTCTTTTATGTCTGTTTTCCATGTTGTGAATAAGGGGATGTAATATAGCTTTTGCATTGTTGGGTGAATAGCTGGTCTCATGATTGATGATTTATTAAGCTCAAATCAGAAATAGAGTTGAGTAAAAAAAAAAATCTTTTGATAGTTTGAAACCCAATTACTACTGATCACGAGGGCTCGGCGTACCAAGAAAACGAAAAGCTGATTTTTGGTGATGTGACGACTGCCAAAATATGAAGGAATACCAGATGTTATTTTAAAAAAGTGCCATTGCAGAGTCCTTGGAAAGAGAAAGTGAGCGAGTGTAAGCGAATAGGCATATGTGGATTTAACTAATATTCAAATGAAGCGTAGAACTGAAAAGAAAGAATTCGTAACAGTTTAGCTGTTCAAATCTCCTTCATGTTTGCACCGACGCCTGGTCAGGACCCTTATCAATTGCAGCAATTTTGCTACATTTTCTGAAGAGCACAATCTAAATCACAGGAAAAAAAAATCCTCACATCAAAAAGATAATAAAGTTGAGATCCGTGCTTTTCTTTATATTTGTTACATATATGTAAATGCCAAAATTCAGCCTTTGTAATTTAAGACACAGACTTTAATCAAAAGGCTTAACAGGAATGTTAGTGAAACTAGTAACAAGCATTTTTCCTCCGTGCCATCTTTTATTCTTATGACCCTTGGTTCAGTTCTTGTTTTTGTGTTGTCTTTTCCAGCTCTTTGTCCCATCTCCCACTTGTGTATCTTCATGCCTGTGTGTGCCTTTCTGTACAGTTTTTTTAAATATTTTGACACACTCTTCCCCCTTAATAGGAATTCTGGCTACAAATTGCGTGCACGTTTCTAAAAGACCCTTTTCACAGTCCTTTTCTTTTGGCTCTAAAATGATGTATATGTAATTGGTAATTAAAGGTGCAAGCTCTCTTCAATATAAACAATATTGCTCAATGTTAGATCATTAAAGGGAACTGCAGCACTAAATAATTACCTTTTGCATCGTGACACACTGTTCGCAGGTATCCGCTCCCTTCCCAGCAGTGCCTTTTCAGCACAGGGTTACAGTCACATTTTCACTAAGGCAAGGAGACATCTTTTCATGATATAAATTGGTGAATTAATTGCTTAGTATTGTCTTCAAACTCCTTTTAAACCTAGATTAAGAGGAAAACGGTAATTAATGATTTTCAGAATGAGTGAGTTGGGAAGCATGAGCCTTCTCGTGCCCACCGCTGGCTCCAGCAGGATGGTCCATGCCTGGGCACTGCTCCGGGGTCCCTGTCCTTTTCTGCCGTCGCTGTCGCTGCTGCTGCCGCTCTCTGCTCTGCTGCTAGAGAGCTCTGGTGCAACTTGCAGTACAGCTGGTAGATATGCTGATCAGTTATTTATTCTGGAAGGCAAAAATGGGAGTGATTATTTTTCTAAACTACCTTTTTTCGAGGCTTAACTATTTTTGTTGCCAGGCAATGCATTTCACCTTCTACCTCTTGCCCCTTTTCTATGTGTTTCTTTTTTTTTTTTAATTTTTTTTTAAATTTTTTTTCCCAATTGCTGTAGAGTGGGACAAAAATCCTTTTGTTTTCAGAGTGGAGAAGAGTCCAGGTCTGAATTATAATATCTGTCTATCACAGTTTTACTTTGAGATATTTGTGTTACTTACTTTTCCCAGTAAGTAACATGAGGAAAACTAATAGAGGAAAAATCCATGAGGAAACTAATAGAGAACATTTTTCCTCCTATTCCTTTAATCCTGATTAGATTAGAGGTCTCAGTCACTGATTTACATACTGTTAGTTCCTCTGTTTTGTTCACCCCAAATCCTATAGTCCTTGCAGAGGAAAACCAGCCTTAGGCAAAAGTCAGTGGAAATTTTGCCTGAGTAAAGTCCAAGGTTTGTATGATTTGGCAGTTACATGGCAGAACAAGAGAAAACAAACAAAAAACCATGCTTTGCCCCAGAAATAGATTGTGATCCACAATTATTTTATAGTGTAAAAATTATCTTCTAAGTACTGATTTAAAACATACTGAGTTTTATTAATTGTGACATGAGAAGTTACATATTTCCTAGAAACTGATTCAAGTCACCCAGAAATTCTTTCCCAGTCTTTGGGGGTAAAGGTAGGAAATTCAACACGTCTGTGGACAAGATTTAAACAAAAAAACTTTTATTAGCCTATGTAGCAATGGCAGGGTTTTTGGCATTGGAAAAATAGAGTGGAATATTTCAGGCTCAGCCAATATTCCAGTATGTTAAATAAGTGCCTCATTCCCTTTCCCACTGTGCACACTTTTGAAACCTTAACTGCTCATGAGACCATACCCTGGTTGTTTTAGTCTTGCAAGTAGTTTTTTGTAATTTCTGCTAATGGGTGGTCATTTAATCTTGCCGGTAACTCTGTAATGGGACAAGGTGGTACTAATTTTGTATGGCACGGGGAGCCCGCTCCTACTAGTTTGGTGCATAAAAGCTTTCCCCCTCTCCCTGAAAAAAGAAGGAAAGACTTGGGTGCATAAGCTTCGCTGGATGGGGCCTTGGCCAGATGGCTGGGAGACGCGAAGGGAATGAGAAGGTGGGATAAAAAGAGAGGAACTATTTCAGAATGTGACTCGGGGCTCGAACGCTTGCAAAATGGCTCTTTGCTGATATCCTTGCAGCGCTGGCAGCAGTGGGAAGGAGCTGTCAAGAAAGCTATGCCAGGTCAGCCTTTCCATTTTGTTTCAGGCAGGCTTGGTTGCAAAATATATTGAAATCATTCTGGGAGAGCGGAAAAGCTGAAAAATAAAAGAAAGATCTAATCAGGCTTGGCTCCTTTGAGGGGGGTGAGGGGAGGCTGGGCCTCTGGTGATGCATCCTTCAGAGTCTGTGAACACTCAAAGCAATCTCTTTCTCTTTTCCCCTCGTCCCTTTCCTCCCTCTTTCTCCTTGTCCATGCAAAGCAGAGGCTGACCATGTGGAACCGGCACTGGCCGACGAGGACGAGAGCCTGGCAATAGCAGACCCAGGCGGCATCAGCATCGCCGCAGGCGGGACAGACCCCGACTTGTTAACCTGCGGACAGTGTCAGATGAACTTCCCGCTGGGAGACATCTTGGTTTTTATAGAGCACAAGAGAAAACAGTGCAATGGCACTGGTGGTGTCTGCTATGAAAAGAGCATGGATAAGAGCAGCCCTCCCCCCTCCTCACGCGCCGAGCTCAGGAAAGTGTCAGAGCCAGTGGAAATCGGGATCCAAGTCACACCCGATGAAGAAGACCGTCTTCTCACGCCTACAAAAGGAATTTGCCCCAAGCAGGAGAACATTGCAGGTACAGCACGTTTTACACTCAATCAACTTGCCTAGGTAATCTTTTAACTAGAGTCCTCTAGAAAGTGCCATGAAGCAGGCTTCAGCAACACGTCTTTATAGGAGCCATCCATCTGGAGGATCCTCACGGCTCTGCAAGGCTGTCCATTCCCTGTTTAATTCTTTGTAGCTGTCTGTGCAGGGCCAACTGCTGGAGAAAGGGGCCTTTCAGGCAGCTGGGAGGGCTAAGGGGCAGTCTGTACATCTGGGAAAAAGAGAAAGTTTGGGTCAGAAAACATTTCAGGAGCATCCTTAAGCAAATAGCAGTGGCAGAATATGGATAGGGGACTTTGGTGAGGTTCCCAGTTCAGTCTTGTTCCAGATACCCTTTGTCTCATGCAGATTCACTGGGAAGGGTTGCATCCTGACACTAGGAAAAGTCCTCTTCCCACTGACTGGTAGTAGGGGAAGAAGATTTTTTTGAGTGCTAAAGCAGGGTTTCATGAAGTCCTTCATTTTTCATTCCCTAGAGTAGATGTCAGCTTCCTGGCCTGCACTGCAGCCTGTGTTGCCTGTTCTGGGTCTCCTTAGATGGCTTAGGTTGGGTGGGTAACACCCCCACTCTCATGCGCACCCCAAAGAGTTCTTCTGAATAAGGATACAAGACCATAGGCTGGCCTGGGTGAGCAAATTGCAGGCATTTCTTTTTCTAAAACTCTCACATGTGGTGAAGTTAACGCTCATTCAGTGGACCTCCCCTGCTCAGACGTGGGCAGGCAGGTGATGATTATCCACCTAGGTGAGGTGGTATGCAGTGGTTCCTGCAGAGTGCCTGGCATGGGGTTGCTTCCATCAAGCAGGGTGTTTTTCCCCTCTGCAGTGGTGAAAGGATGACTCTCCTCCCTGCTAGTGAGTGGGGGTTTTATGTTACACAGCAGGATCTCCCCTCAAACGGGCCTTTTTTGTTCAAACCAACTGCATCCCATACAGAAGACCAGTGACAATCTGCCTTTGCTGCCAGTATCCTGATTTATCTAGGAATTGTCCTATGGGATTAGATCTGACAGTCCAGGATCCTGCCTGTGGTAGAGATGTTCCCATGAGGGGATCCCCAGCAGACAGGTGAGAGGCTCCTGTCTTTACAACTGAAGCTTAAGAGATTTCTGGCTTTAGTGTTGGAGATGTCTGAGCAAGTCCCCAGCACCTCTGACAGGCTTGGGCATCACATCAGTGAGGGTGTGGGCTTTAAAATACTGTGGGTTTCAGACCTCCTGTCTTTTAGGACAGGGCATACAATGCCCATTGACTACACTGTCTTCTTCTAGGACTATTTTTTTGGGGTGCAGCCACCACCTGACATGGGGCAGCTGTTAGCTCTGGGAGCACTAGCTGTGGAAGGCCAGTGCTGTAGCGTTGGAAGCAAACCTACCGTAAGACCTGACCCCGTCTTTTCCTCATCCCTTTTCAGCTTTCCTCATCCTTTTGCAGTCATGAATACATTTCTTGGTAGAGATGACTACATTGTGGTGTAGCAGATTTGAGGGCTAGATTTCCTTTCCATTTGGTAGGAGCAGAAGGGAAGTATTCAGGACCTTCCCTAGTCTGCTGAAGGCTGCCTGAGTGCTGCTGAGCACTCCCAAAAGCTGTTGATCTCTGTGCAAGCTGATGGCACTCAGCCCCTTGCAGAGGGTGTGCAGTGCTTGGTAAGGCTGGTTTAGGAAAGCCCTGCTGTAGCTGCAGTCCAGAGCTCATCTCTTACTAATCTCTGCCCAAGTTCAGTCCACAGTACCTCAATGGTTCTCCCAGAACAGAGGGGGCTGTCCCATCCCAGGCTTCTAGGGGTCAGCAACAACATAACCAAAGCTTTTGCCATGCAGAAAATCTGCTGGGGTAGGAGGTCGTGAAGGAGATGTTCACATGTGGAAAAGGCATAAAAAAAATTAAAAGCTAATCTGGAGCACCTAATCTCTTTCAGACTAAACTGAATATCAAATGAAAAATATGTAGGAAAGATTTTGAATTGAGAAAAATAAAAGGGTTTATCATTTGATTGGCATTTTCTCAGCAGTGCATGGAGATAGGGACATCCACTAAACAGTGCTGTAATAATACTTTCTCAATTAGGAGCCCAGCTCTGAGATAAAAAGGTGCAGTGTCCTTCCATATTTTTTTTTAATAGCAGCGGATAGTTTTCAATAGTAGGATAAAAGCCTCACATTACAGCCATGGAGGGTAGCCATGAAAAACCCACAGAAGTCATTCACTGGAAAGGCTTTAGTGGGATATACCAAACCCCTTATTTATATTTCAATAGAAAGGCTTTCTGCATTAGCCAAGAAAATCAGAATCTGCATTTAACATTAAAGGTATTTCCCAGTGAGCGGCTGTAGAGCATTGTTGTTAGATTTGTTAAAAAAAGAGACTAAATACGATTTCATAAAAGGGAAACTTAATCTCTAAGGCAGCTTTCTCCTACCCTGCCACCCCCTCCCTTTATTTTTTTATTTTTTTTCTAATAATGCAACAGCCTACAGTATTTTTACTTTATATGTGACGAAAGATATTCTTAGCCTTTCTGTACTGCGACAGGAAGAATGAATTTCTTTATTCCACCAAGAAATATGTAAAATAATCCCTTAGAAGTATGGGGAGATATGTTTGTTCAAAGCATTTAAAATGTTATTTTAATCAAAGGCACAAAACACTCTACATGCTGTGTCAGCTAAAGGAGACCATTACATTTTAACAGCAAATCATGTTCTTTTTCCCCCTCCTAGCCAGCCCCCCCCTTTGAAACTAACTTTTTTTTTATTAAATAAAAAGGCAAAAAAGATTAAAGAATAAAAAAAAAACTTCAGTGGCTCAAATGTATAAAGTAATTTAATATGGTGGAAGCATTAATTATTTTAGCTTAATTGAATTCTGAGGACTGCAGTAGTTGCATTTTTGTAGACAAGCTCTGTTTATTATTTCTTTGTGTAGATTAACAGTAAAGGAAACATAGATAACTTTCAGTTATTTATTGTAAAATAAATGTGTCAATTCATGTGTAAAGCAAGCTGTTCAAAGATAATTGAGTCTTTATATTTGAAGAGGGAAACCAGAAATCACCCACTCGCCACTCTGGCTCCCTGAAATATGCTGCCACCACTGCTGTCCTCGAAGAGGTTTCAGCTCCTCTCCTTGATCCTGTGTTATTTTTGCAGACCTTCTTATTTGGTCAGAATGATTTGTAAAGCCTTCTGTGGTGTGACAAAGCCACCAGACCTTACAGCTTCCCATGGCTGAATGCTCTGAGGGTATGTCAAGTGCTGAGCTTGGCTCTGCCCCATGTACCTCTCGTAGCTCTGGGTGTGAGGATATTGGGATGCAGAAACCACGCTGAGTATTCATCCTGGCACAGGGTGCTCCTGAGGCCTTTCTTCCTCTCTTTTTTTTACTTTCTGGGTAGTTCTTCTTGCCCCAGCCACTGAATGCCTCTTGACCACACAACAGACCTTGTGCTGCTTTGAGGGACACGTTGAGGCAGAGCTTAGGAGCCCACGAGAATTTTTATGTATGCAACACAAATCTCTGACAGACATTTCTATATTCCAGTGGAAACAAAGGCAACTTTGTCTCTGCAATCAGCTTTTAAAGATCTTCTGATAATGAAATCTGTCATCTTTCCGTGACTGGTAACTTGCAAATCCAAGTTTTGGAGGTGTTTTCATTTAGTTACCACTGTCCGTAAGATGTGTGGTAGCATGTCAGCTGGCACTGGGAGGACGTGACTTGCTTGGGAGCAGTCTGCCCTGTAAAGGTTTTTTTTTCTGTTTTGCAAATTGGCTGACCTGTTTGAAAATCAGTTCTGCCTCTTGTACAGAGGGTGTGATAGTATCGAAGAGATGTACCAGATTGTTGCACAGCAAAACATAACCAGGCCAATGAGTTGGCAAGCAGTTATCGGTCACTGCTTCTTTTATTTCACTGCTGGCAGGTATTTTGGAAAAAAAATAGACCACTGTTGTATTTTATACCTCTTTTTATCTTTCATATTTATCAGATCTTGGGCATAACCAGGTGACCTGTCCTGGCTGAAGAATGACCTGGGAAGGTGCTCCCACTGTCGTTTCACAGATGGTATCTCATCTCTTCCCCATGGCCCTGTGGTCTGTTTGTTAGAAGGATTCTCTGAAACTACCCAAGTCAAAAAAAAAGTACCAGTCAGCTTGATTTTAATGCCGAGTGGTTTCATAGAACCCCACCAAAGAGGAGGGAGCCACTGTGGAGCAGGCACCACTTGGACCAGAACTTCTCCAGAATCACTGGCAGGCCTGCACCTTCAGGCCAGCAGACCTTCACAAACACATAACTGCAGCAGCAGAAGAGGTTCACTAAGATGATGAGCTAATTTTTGCAAAAGTAGTGCTAGGAAAGAGGAGGGGGTTGATTGGAATTCCTCATTCATCCTGTCCCAGCAACCAGTGCTGGGCTCCATACATTGTACTAGATGTACATCATGAAAAAAGGCTCCCTGTCAGAGGCAGGATTTAACTGCAACCCCTGCTCCATGAATGTTCATTTCAGGCTTTTGAATGGTAAAACTGCCAGTGAGAGAAACTAAATAACTCGCATGTGCTGGAAGCCAGAGATAAACACCGCTGCAGGTTGCCATGAAATGGGCTATTTGATATATTTAGAATTGTTATTTTTCTCCAAATTAAGATTAGTTAAATCCATGTGTGTTGTGTGAGTGACTGTTAACTCAATGGCATGGATTATCCTTTTTTCAAATCTTGACAGCTAATTATTATTGCTGCCTACCCTGAGACATTCTCTTACAATGTACCATTATGGACCCGTGCACCCATATTTAACTGCAGGACTCAGACAGCCATCGTGATGCTTTCACACATGTGGGGAGGGAAAGGAGAGCTGAAACAACCCAAGGACTGCCATGGTGACATCAGGCAGGTTGGGAAGAGCTGTCCTGAAGCTGAGCTGGCACGGGGCTTGGTGGCTATCCCCTTCCCAAGGCTG